GAGGCCAGCACCCTCCCACCCTCCCGGAATCATCTCCAAACAACGGCGTGGAGGGGCAGGACGACGAACGTCCACTCCACTTCCCTCTGCCTTTGTCCGTCCCGTCGGCCCGCTGAGGGCGTGGAGACCCGCCGGCCGCCCTTCCCTGTCCCTGTGACTGCAGGCGCTCCGCCACTCACTGACGGCCTGCCCTGCATAGGCGGCCTGTGCCACTTCCCATCCTAGAAGCTCCCAGACCTCTGCGGCCGGTGCTCCTGCCTCCTCGCTTCCACCCTTGCCCGTTTATCTGAGTTCAGTGAGGTCATCTTTTTAAAACAAATCCAGTGGCATCCAAGGCTTCCAGTGACATACTGCGTGAAACCCAAATTCTCTCTCAATACGTTCTGGCCTCCTCCTTCCTCTGCCCTCATAACTCACTGCCATAATGCCGGTCTTGAATTGCCAAGCTTGTTGCAGTCTCAGAGCCTGGAAGTGTCAGAGAGCTTGGGAAGCCTCCTAGCAGTCATTAAACTGTGCAACATCAAGCAAGCAGGAAGACAAGGCTTATGGAACCCAAGAAGCAGGAAGGCCAGGTTCATATCTACAACTATAGATTCAAGAGAATGAATGATTTCAGGCCAGAATTGGAGGGATGAGAGAATGAAATGGGCCTGGTACCGATCTCAGGTTGAAGCTGTATTCCACTTGTGCTGGGAGCTGCAAGAATGAATGAACCAGGCCTTAAGTGAGTCCCTCTGAGACCTAGTAGTTACACTTTACGGACATTCTTTCAAAGAAAATATTCACAAATACAGAAAAAGGTATATGCACTGAAATGTCCATGAAGGCACTATTTTTAATAGAATGGAAACCTGCCCAACTGCACAAGTGAGCACTCAAATGGAATATTATAGTTACTGAAACGTATACAACGGGACACCATGGCTCACGCCTGGAATCTCAGCACTTTGGTAGACCAAGGCAGGAGGATCACTGGAGCCCAGGAGTTTGAGACCTGCCTGGACGACAGAGTGAGACCTCCATCTCTACAGAAAAAAAAAAAAATTTTTTTTGAGACGGAGTCTCGCTCTGTCACCCAGGCTGGAGTGCAGTGGCGCAATCTCCGCTCACTGCAAGCTCCGCCTCCCAGGTCCACGCCATTCTCCTGCCTCAGCCTCCCAAGTAGCTGGGACTACAGGTGCCTGCCACCACGCCCGGCTAATTTTTTTGTATTTTTAGTAGAGACGGGGTTTCACCGTGTTCGCCAGGATGGTCTCAATCGCCTGACCTTGTGATCCACCCGCTTCGGCCTCCCAAAGTGCTGGGATTCCAGGCGTGAGCCACTGCGCCCGGCCAAAAAAAATTTTTTTTTAATTGGCTGGGCCACAGTGGCATGCATGCCCCTGTAGTCCCAGCTACTCAGGAGGCTGGATTGGGTGGGAGGTCAAGGCTGCAGTGAGCTATGACTGTGTCCCTGCATTCCTGCCTGCGTAACAGAGCAAGACCCCATCTCTTATTTAAAAAGAAGAAAAAAAAAGAAAGATAATGTATAGAAAGGCTACACAGGAGCAAAGAACTCCTGAAACTAAAATGAGCACGATGCACAATACATAAAAAGTATCACACATATACCGATCCATGAACACGCCAGCCTGCTTGGAGAAAATAAGACAGGAAGGTATGGCCAGGTACACTGGCTCATGCCTGTAATCCCAGCACTTTGGGAAGCCGAGGTGGGCGGATCACCTGAGGTCAGGAGTTCAAGACCAGCCTGGCCAACATGGCAAAACCCTGTCTCGACTAAAAATACAAAAATTAGCTGGGCGTGGTGGTGTACGCCCCCGTAAATCCCATCTGCTCACGAGGCTGAGGCAGGAGAATTGCTTGCGCCCGGGAGGTGGAGGTTGCAGTGAGCTAAGATTGCACCACTGCACTCCAGCCTGGGCGACAGAGCAAGACCCTGTCTCAAAAAAAATAAAAAATAAAAAAAGAAGAAGACAAGAAGAGATTGATTGTGGCTACAGTTGGGAAGAGTGTCATGTTTACCTCTGATACATCAGGCCCTGTGCTAAGTGCTGTATAAGCTTAAGCCCTTCAATATGATGAGGCAGATGCCATTATCCTCACTCTGAGAAGAGGGGACTGAGCCTTCAGGCATTGCTGCCCGCTCCTCAGGTCCACTTACTCCACTTGCTCCGTCCTTGAAGCTCTCCAAGCATTTCACCTCGTCAAACATGAGCCAGGTACACAGGGGAATATGTCTTCCCCAACAGATGGTTTGCAAAGTCCTCGAGCACTGGGTCCACGTCAGACTCACCCTTGGACCACACAAAACCTAGCAGACTCTTACCCGCAGGGCAGTTACAGTATCTGTTCAATAAATGAAGACCACGTAAATTAGGGTAAATCCTGACTGCAGGTGGCAACAGCACATTTCACCCTTTATTGGTGCCAGCTCCCTGCTGTACTGGGGCTTATGTACCATACAATTCAAGGCCACCTAACTTTCCCTGCTCTTCCATCTGGGGTCAGCCTGGCTGCCTCTGACCTCCGAAGTCTGGTGCTCCCACTAAAGGAGTCTTCCAATAGGAACGCCAAAGACTAAGAACGGACACATGCAAAGTGCCAAACCAGGGCAGAGTGGAGGTGCCCCTCAAGTTTTGTTTTCTTTTTTTAAGACAGAGTCTCGCTTTATCACCCAGGCTGGAGTGCAATGGCATGATCTCGGCTCACTGCCACCTCTGCCTCCCATGTTCAAGTGATTCTCCTGCCTCAGCCTCTTGAGTAGCTAGGATTACAGGCACGTGCCACCACGCCTGGCTAATTTTTGTATTTTTGTATTTTTAGTATTTTTTCACCATGTTGGCCAGGCTGGTCTCAAACTCCTGACCTCAGGTGATCCTCCTGCCTCGGCCTCTCAAAGTGCTGGGACTGCAGGCGTGCGCCACCGCGCCTGGCCGCCCCTCAGGGTCTGTACAGATGACGCAGTGAGCACTCTGGAGCGTGTCAGTGGGAAGGAGGGGCAAAGTGCAGAACAGTGTATGCCATTGTTTGACCGAGGAAAGGAAGGGAATGAGAGCATCTTCATAGGTGCTTGCTTTTGCGTGAAACACACTGGGAGGATGAGCAGTAAGTCATGACAGAGGGTGGGTGGGGAGCAGAGCCTGTTTCTGAGCATGGCTTTGTATCCAGTTTTGACTTTAGAATCCTGTAAATTACCTTAAAACCCCTAACAAGGCCAGGCGCAGTGGCTCACGCCCGTAATCCCAGCACTTTGGGAGGCCGAGGCGGGCGGATCACGAGGTCAGGAGATCGAGACCATCCTGGCGAACACGGTGAAACCCCATCTCTACCAAAAATACAAAAAATTAGCCAGGTGTAGTGGTGGGCACCTGTAGTCTCAGCTACTCGGGAGGCTGAGGCAGGAGAATGGCGTGGACCCGGGAGGCGGAGCTTGCAGTGAGCTGAGATCCGTCACTGCACTCCAGCCTGGGTGACAGAGCGAGACTCCGTATTAAAAAAATAAAATAAAAAAACCCCTAACAACAAAGCAGCCCTTGCACCACCATGGGACATCCCGGAGCCACAGGTGCACTCGTCTAACCCGCAGAAGCAAACGTTCTGCGCAGCAGCAGGTGAATCCTTCCCGCAGCAGCTGCTGTGGGAGCCCGCCCCGAGGGAGGACCCTGCTTCATTTCATCGGTGCCGTCTTGGCTGTCTTCTGACCTGAGCCAAAGAGTCCAAACTTGCCCTGTTCATTCAGCATGTGAGAGGCTTCAGGTACTATTATTCCAAGTGGTCCCTCGTCCCCAGAACGAGGTCAAAACTTTGAAGGCCGTTGAGCATGGAGTAACACGAACCCCTGACAGCCATCACGTGCTCGCCCAGGTAGTGGGGCCCTGCCCACTTCCACCCACCTCCGCCCAGCGGGCTCCTGGCACTTGTGTCTGATGCAGGCTAGCTCTTCACCAGAGGCAAGATGGCCAGCACGTGGCTTTTCGAATGCACAGCACTCTATACTACAACTTTTTTTTTTTTTTGAGACGGAGTCTCACTCTCGTCACCCAGGCTGGAGTGCAATGGCTCGATCTCGGCTTGCTGCAACCTCTGCCTCCCGGGTTCAAGCGCTTCTCCTGCCTCAGCCTCCCGAGTAGCTGGGATTACAGGCGCCCACCACCGCTGGCTAATTTTTGTATTTTTAGTAGACAGGGTTTCACCATCTTGGCCAGGCTGGTCTCAAATTCCTGATCTTGTGATCCATCCACCTCAGTCTCTCAAAGTGCTGGGATTACAGGCGTGAGCCACGGCACGTAGCCTACAACTATTACTATTTTTTTGAGACAGGGTCTCAATCTCTCGCCCAGACTGGAGTGTAGTGGCGTGATCATGGCTCACTGCAATCTCAACCTTCTGGATTCAAGGGTCAGCTTCCTGAGTAGCTGGGACTAATTATTTCACTTTTTTGTAGAGTCAGGGCCTGGCTACGTTGCTCAAGCTGGTATCAAACTCCCAGGCTCAAGTGATCCTCCCATCTTGGCCTCCCAAAGTCCTGAGCTTATAGACATGAGCCACCACATCCGGCCTACTTAGTTGAGCTGGAATCCCAGTATGTTGCCCAGGCTGGTCTTGAACTCCTGGGCTCAGGTGATCTGCCTCACCCTCCAGAATGACTGGGACTACAGGTGTGCCCAGCAGCAGCTCAGTGCTTGCAGGGGCAGCTGGCGAAGCCTCTGGAGCTCCTGGCCCAACGTGGAGCCTGGTGAGCTCCTCCTCGCCCTCCCAGGGCTGTTTCCTCTTCCCAAGACTCTGGGTCTGACTTCACAGGGTGGCCAGATACCATTCTCCCCTCACAGCTGGCTCCGCTTGTAGTCCCAGCATTGAGGACCTGCCCGTCATCTTTGGTACTGTCCCCTGCCTGCCTCTCCCAAAACTGCGGACTCATTAGGGCAGGTGCCGCGTGTCGGTTCATTTACCACTCATCACGGTCCTGTCCTGAACGACACATCACACAAGCCACGGGAGACTTTCCCCCAAAGGAATGCTTTATTGACAAATTACCCATTATTATAATAACCTTAAGGAAAAGATACATCAGTTAACACCCGCGCAACCTGCCTTCACACCACACCCCACAGGCCAATTTTAACCCTGGACGAAGGGCACCAAGCACTGGGGTTCCCTGGCCCCTGCATCTTTGTCGTGTGTGGAGTGCCATCCCCAGGGGTGTCTGAACTGTCTGGGGACAGAGTTGTCAGAGGACACTTGCTCTACCGAACAGGACACTTTGAGCTGAGCAGCCCTTCCCCTCCTGGGAGTGGCAGAGCCAGGCACACCACAGGCAGGCCCTCAGGTCCTGCCAAGAGCCACTAAGGCACAGAGCTTCCCCTGCAGACCATGCCATCTGACATGCAGGGCCCTGGTGTGAGAGAGAGGCTGCTGGGGTGTGATCACTTAGTAACAGGAAGAGATCTTTGTAGCTCCTGAGAAAAAGGCAACAGCAATCCTGGCCGATGCCCATGCCCCACCCTCCACCTGACCTGTGGGGTCGTTTCATCCCAAATGCAGCAAGCAGGCGGGTTGGAGTCACTGACGAGTGCCAGCCGGGCCAGGCCCATGCAAAGGCAGCACTGAGAACGGGGGCACAGCTCTTTTAAAGGGTGCTAAAGACAGGCTTTTCCTTCTCTTGGCCCCCCCATTCCCAGAGGCTCAAGAGCCCTTTGGGGCAGAGCAGGGGAGCCAGTGGGAGCTGCCACGGTTGAGAAGAGAAGCAGGTTTTGTACACTGGGATGGAGTGTGCATGAAATCAAACACCCCAACTGGAACAGGCTGCCACGCAGACCAGGTGTAAAATTCCACACAGTGCTCACAACCATTAAGGAACTCTCATCTATATACACATAAAAATTATAAAGAAATAAAGCATAAGGCAATGTAAGGCTTGTATTTCAGCTTGAGTCCAAAGACATACTATTCTCTATGAGGCTAAAGCTGCTTTGCCTAATTTAAACTTTTTGAAAAGTCCACTGCATTTAAAAAAGAATGAATTTGCTTCCGTTAAAGCTAGATTAGCGTGACAATTAGGCAGCTGCTGATGATCGGTTTCCTTTCTGGGGGTCTCAGAAAACTGACAGCTTTCTTGTTCGGCATTTTGAGATAAAAGATTGTGTAACAGGTAGGACTTGCTGGGTGATTGTGTTCCTTCTGTGAGTCAGGGAAGGGGGAGGAGGAAGTCAGAAAATGCCACTTATTTGATGCTTAGAACTCTTCAATCCTTCAACATTCTGATGGGCTAACATGATTCCCAAAGGGAGCCTGGGCTTTGGCTCAATATTCTTTCAAATCCTCCACCCTGTCCACTTCCTGCACCCCTGGGAAGGACAGCACAGTGATCTGTTTCATCTACAAACTTGAGTGTAAAACATCTGTGTACAAGACTGTGTTCTCTAAATTCATGCGAACGCGGCAGCCACATCTCCATGTGGATGGGCAGGACTGTCCTCAAAGCCGGCTCTGCTCATCCGCCTGGCTGGCTGCTCCGCTGAACAGAGCCGCGGCGGGATGCTGAGGGCGTGCTGCGTGTGCTCTGCAGCGGGCGAAGCGACCACAGGCTTAGAAAGGTGCGGGATCCGACAGGGGCTTGTCACCACTCCCCGCTGAGGAAGGGAGGTTGTCACTGCCGTTCTCTCGGTCACCCACAACCTTAGACTACGGGAGAGAAAAGATGACAGAAAAACCTGAGACAGAGCACACAGCACAAGGCAGACCCCAGGCCCATGCTCAGTGCTCTACAAAAGCTTATGTGACATGAACCCTGCTCAGCAGCAACAGGGAGCAGATCACAGACGGGCACCAGCTGAACAGTCTCCAGAGGACGATGCCAAATGAAGACAGTGAATGCCAAACAGCTGCACACTGTATCGTTCCATTTACGTGACACTCTTGAAATGACACAACGATACAAAGGGAGAGTGGACTAGGGGTTGCCGGGGGTAGGGCGGGAGGAAGGTCGGCGCGGCCAAGAAGGTACCAGGAAGGGCAGTGGGGACCGGGAAGGGCAGTGTGGAGACGTTCTGTGTCCTGAGTCAGTGCCAACGTCCTGGTGGGGAGGCTGCACTACAGGATTTTCCGAGATGTTGTCACGGGAGAGAACTGTGTAAAAGGCACAAGGAACCTCTCTGCATTACTTCCTACAACGGCACGTGAGTCTACGATGACTAGTAACAGTCCAGGTACAATTACCTTTATGGTCCCAACTCGGTCCTCAAATGACTTGAAGGTTGCAGAGTTCCTTTCAAGAGAGAGGGAAGAGTGTTGGTGTCAAGAGAAAAGGGTTGTGCTGCCCTCTAACTCGGAAGGGCCTCAGGGCGAGGGCCAGCCTCCAAAGGACCCTAACAAAATCCCAAGATCTCATGGCAAAACTGTGAGACAGCCAGGTCGTTCCAGAGACCCCCCAGGTCAGAAGTGAGGTCGGTCATGCCCAACAGTCACAGGGACAGGTCCAGACATCACACAAGGCAACTGGAAACCCCCTGACTGTGCAGCCGGGGGGATGTCGGCCCCCCTCTGCTGTACCCTACGGGGACACCCTGGGCTCCTGTACTGAGGTTACGAAGAGTCTGGAGTTCACGCACATCTCTCAGAGAAGCGAAGGGAAGACCAAGGACACTTGTGGGACAGCAGAGTGATAAGGAGACAGAGGAGGAGAAAGCAGGCCAGCTCCATCCCACTCAGTCCCTCCCACAGAACCAGATACCCCTCCCAGGCCCGGGGCCTCTAGAGACCAGCACGTCTGTGACACCCAGCCGGAGTCCCCACAAGGAGAACAGGACTCTCCTGAGAATCAGGGCAGTGCCTGAAGGCACAGGCACGAAATAGGGACCATAGCTCTGGGTGTTTCCACGAAGGCTGAGACCCATAAAGTGTCCTGACTGACAGCCCACCAGGGCAAGTGCCAGGATCTGTGTGCCAGCCTCTCCAACCCCACCCCAGCTTGACGCTGCAGGCAGCCAGGGACAACCTGGAAAGGACACGGCTGAGTTTGACACAAGGATCTCCTCTGGAGGCTGCAGGTCGAGAGCCTGACCCCTACCAGCTTCCTCGTCAGCCTAGAGGGGGTCTTTACCAGCCCTTAGCCATCAGGAGATTGCCAGGGGAATGGCGTCCTTAATTAATCCAGGGATATGGGAAGGGCAAGGTGTGACCGGCGGGAGCCGCCCCAACCCCCACCAGAGACACCCGGCTCTGGAGCTGCAGCGAGCATACGTTACCTCATGGCCGGCATACTTATTGAGTGGCGGATGGAGTAGCTGCTGCTTGGAAGCATGGCAGAAGCAGAGAAGGAAGCAAGAGTTAACACCGAGATCCACACACAACCCCAACTGGGCGGGGATGGGCAGAGCTGGGATTGCCCCACTCCCGGCAGTCGGATCAAGCTGCTGCCTCCACACCACGCCCCGAAGGAAACTCAACCCAGGGTCCTCCCTCGGCCTCACGGGGGGCACCCCAAGTCTGCCCCTCCACACCACGCCCCTGAAGGAAACTCAACCCAGGGTCCGCCCTCGGCCTCACGGGGGGAACCCCAAGTCTGCCCCTCCACACCATGCCCCTGAAGGAAACTCAACCTCAGGGTCCTCCCTCGGCCTCACGGGGGGCGCCCCAAGTTGCCCAGCACATAGCACTGGGGGAGGAGGGCACTGCCATAGGAAGTGTGAGGAGACCAGGCCTGGGCTTTTGAAAAGTATTTGGGACCAGCAGCCTTCAGATGTCCTTACTTGACTTCGGCAAGTTTAAGGACCTTTTGGCAAAAGAGAAACAACCAGGTCAGGTAAAAACACATGAAATCACAGATTGCTCTGGGCCTGGCTCTAGACCTCCCGGTTCCAGCCAGAAGTGCAGGTGCGGGCGGCGCCCCGGGCTGGCCTAGAGGAGCCTGCTCTGGCCCACACGAGGGCCCTGTGGGAGGCACAGGTAGTAAGACAAAACTCCATCTGAAGAAAAACAAGGAAACAGGACCTATGTCGAACAGGAAGGTGGTGAGAGTCGGCACAGCCCTCCCCCATGAAAAGGCTCCTTCTCAGAAGTAAACTCAGGCGTGGACGCCAGGCCAGTTATTCACTGACCCGGGAGCAGGCAGCCCGTGAGCCTGGGTGGGAATGGGAAGCACGAGGAGGGACACAGAAGGGCCGGGGGGTTCCGGGGGGGCCTCTGCGTCGATTCCACGCTGCTGCTTTGTTCCCCGAGATGCAGCAACTGCCTGGCTGGGACTGCTGTCCTGGAAGGGGTGATCCCCCTTTCACCAGCCCTCTACCAGCATAGCTGCCCACGGGCCCTGCCAGAGTCCACCCTGCCCCAATTCAGAGAACAGTCTTCCACAGGTGTGTCCAGGCTCAGCCTTACCTAAAGGAGTGTGAAAATGGATGAGCCCTGGAAGGTGGCAGCAGGAGAGAAGAGGAAACGAAGTGTAAGCAAGGCAGGCCAGCACCCACTCACAGCCCTCCTCAGGGAGCCCCAGGCCCCCTGCTCATGCTCAGCCAGGCCCAGCGGGAAGACCCTCCAGGACGGCTCCTCCATCCGCATACCACCGGCGAGAGCAGCCCTGTCTCCAGTCTCCTCAAGTCCTGACTCAACAGGAGGCTCTCGCAAGCTCACGACTAGCAACTGCTTAGGCTCACGGCTGTGCACAGGAGGCCCCTGGGTCCAAGCCCTGTCCACGCCTTATGCCCCAAGGCACACCTATTTGAAGAAGCCACAGCACCTGGAGCGCAACTGGCCCCATCCAGTAGCACAAAGGTATGAAACGTGCCACAGCGTGACAGCTGGGTTTGGCCAGCTCCACAGAACGAGAGCGGCCCCTGTTCCCCAAAGCGCGTCAGCTGAGGAAGCACACACACTGTGGGAGCATGTGGGACACCCTTGGCGCCGAGCACTTCTGCTCTGAGCTCTGTCCATGCACGCAGACACCAACCTGGAAACCTGTGTGTCCGAGGGCAGCTGCCGCCACTCACTGCAGCCAGGCCCACTCCGACACGGAGGCAGCCACTGAAGAACTGATAAACGCTCAGCTCGCCCGCGGTCCTGAGACCACAGAGTCGGATGGTGACCTGACCCTGGTGTAAACGCCCCCCTCTGACCTAAATCCAGTTCCCTTTCCCCCATCCCCATCACCTATGCCCCAGGGCACACCAAAGGCCTCACAGTCCGGGGCTGCCCTGAGACGGGCCCATCATAGATGTGGGTGTTGGGCAGCTGTCCCGAGGGGCTTCCACGCAAGAGTAAGCTGGGTCCGTGGGGTTCATCGGCCCTAACTCGATATAAACCTCCTGGAACCCAATTTTCACTTTCAGGAAGCAGTGAGCTCCCAACCTCGGTCTCTAGGTCAAGAGGTAGATGGGCCCAGACCTCAGAAACCACCTGTGACTGCCTGGGGAGATGATGGGGATACACCAGGGGCTCCAGACGTCAGAGGTCACACCACCACTACAAACATAAATGGAGGAGCAAGCAGGGCAAGACACACCAGCAAACAGGACCTCTCCACGGGCACTGTGAACACGGCCAGCCAACTGGAGCGAACTGGCTCGTCCCAGGTCAGCCTGAGGCCCCGCTCACCCAGCTGGCCCCACATACCAGGGCACACGTGCAAACACGTGGCACAGTGTGGCCAGGCACACTGACAGCTGTGCCAGAGTCACTGCAACAGGAACTCTGCTCACTGCCAGCCATGCCCTGAGGCTACACGGCACAGGGGTCAGCTGCCAACCCCAGGACTGAGCAAAGCGCGAGAGCCCTCCTCCCCATCAGAGGAGCAGCAGACAGAGAACTGGGACCGTGTCCCTGTGCTTCCAGAGAAAAACAGGCCACACAAACAAACGCCCAGATCAAAACCCCAGGACTGGCCTGTGCACGGCTATGTCAATCAGTGCCGAGGGCTCCGCCTGACCCTTGGATTTCCACCACGATGCTCTGAACAAACTCAAAAGGGAGTGTGGACACTATGAGTGGGCAAACGCCCCCGATGGCTGGCATAAATTTAGGCACAACAGACACCCGTTGCTTCCTGAAGATGCTCTGTGGTGACACCGGCATTTTCGGGAAGAAAACAGCCCTGCAAGGCTGAGTGCAGCTGGAGCTCAGGGTGTCCCTCCTGGGTCCAAAGCGCAGCAGCAGTGGGGAAGACCTGCATTTGGAGGGTGCCCCACAAGGACCCCCCAAGTCCCAGCTGCTGGGGAGTGTGGAGCCCTGGGCGTGCGAGGGTGCACAGAGGAAACACACACGTTGCGTACTGATGACTGCAGCTTCTCCAGAGGTTTAAAACTCTCGAAATAGAAGTCGCCGCGATGGGAGAGTAGATTACCTCAAACAAACAAAAATACAAGTGGGCACAGCTCCTGGGCAGTGGCCATCCCCTCTGCTTGGCAGGGTGGGTCCCTGGGTGTGTGGCCGTCTGTGTCCTGGCCTGTGGCTCAGTGGTCAGGGGAGAGCGCTGGCAACCACAGGCTGGGAGGCAGGACATACCTAACCTAAGGCAGGCAGGCAGGCAGGCAGGAGCCGGCCCAGCAGGAGACGTACGTATCTCTGAATCCTGCAGGGGCCATGAGAGGGGAAGAGGGGAGGGCTGGGTGGGGTCAGCACGGTGCCCCACTCACCGGTCCTCTAGGAACCCTGCACCCATCTTTGCCAGAATTGGGTCAGAACTGCAAGGAGGCACTCCCTGAGATCCGAAAGCCAGAAGACCAGTTCTGAGAACGGGAAAGGAGTCAGGCAGGGTGGGCAGCAGCACCCAGAAGTTGGGGCCAGGATGCTGGTGATGGTGACAACCTCCATCATCCGCTCCTACAGCCCGTGTGAAAGAAGGTGACAACCTCCATCATCCGCTCCTACAGCCCTCCGCTCCTACAGCCCGTGTGAAAGAAGGTGACAACCTCCATCATCCGCTCCTACAGCCCGTGTGAAAGAAGGTGACAACCTCCATCATCCGCTCCTACAGCCCGTGTGAAAGAGGCCCACCCGAGGCCCAGCCGGGGTGCCCAGCCAGGAGGTAGTCCGGCCAAGCATCATAACCAGGCTTCTGGCTCAATCCCCTCATCACCGTGCTGTGGTCAGGGAGCCTAGAGCAGGGAAGGGAGAGGAAACGTGCCAGCCACAAAGCGCCGGCCCTGCTCACTCCTTGGCCCCTGCTTGCTAGGGAACGCTGATGGCCGGGAGGCTTTCACCAGCCTCTGGGAGAGAAGGCTCATTCAGAACCTCCTGAGTGTGACCGCACTCTCTGAGACCTGGGAAACGCCCTCAGAAGTACCATGCCGAGCACCTGTCCTGGAGATGGTGGACTGCCGTCCCGCCCTGACCTGTCCTGGAGGTGGAGGAGGACTGCCATCCCGCCCTGACCTGTCCTGGAGGTGGAGGAGGACTGCCGTCCCGCCCTGACCTGTCCTGGAGGTGGAGGAGGACTGCCGTCCCGCCCTGACCTGTCCTGGAGGTGGAGGAGGACTGCCGTCCCGCCCTGACCTGTCCTGGAGGTGGAGGAGGACTGCCGTCCCGCCCTGACCTGTCCTGGAGATGGAGGACTGCCGTCCCGCCCTGACCTGTCCTGGAGATGGAGGACTGCCGTCCCGCCCTGACCTGACTCTGACCCCCAGGCTGGAGTCACTGCCTCTCAGTGAAGCTTCGAGGTGCAGACTCGTCCCTCACCAACCCTGAGCACCACAAGTTACCCAAAGCACTGGCGGCCAACCCTCCTTGAAGAACACAGAAATGACAGAAAAGCAGCCGACAGGGATGGACGAAGCTCCCAGGCAAGGGTCCCACACAGACTGGTCAGGGCCATGACGGCCACATCCCCGAGCCAGTGTCTGAGGCCTGATCTCCAGGCAGGCTTCCTGCAGTGCCTCCAACACCTCCCCCCTCACTCCTGGCCAGGTCTCAGGGCAGCAGGGTCAGGGCTGGGTCTCACCTCATGTCTCCAAGCTTCCTGCTGATGGCAGAGCCCACTGTGGACAGGGCAGCGGAGGTCTTCTGTCCGGCCTGTGAGAGAGTTTCCTGAGTCTTCTTGTAGCTGGAAGAAGACATACCAGTTAAGTCAACCAGACAGCATGGACGGGTCACCACCCTCAGCCAAGCAAAGCAAGCACTGGGAGCACGCCCGAGGAAAACTGAGGAAAGGGGCCGGGGCAAGGGGTGGACACTCGCCAGGCGTCTACGGAGCGGGTGCAGGCGCAGAGCCCCTCGGCCCCCAGAGGCCCCTGCAGCGAGGAGCAGCCTGTGTGTTGCTCACTGAGCTCTCAGCGACCCTGCTGACTTTCGGCCCCCCAGCCCCGCGATGATGCTGCTTTCTCATCTCACAATCCAACTCCACCCCCTCACCTGACACCTCCTAAGCCCGCTTTCCTGTCTTCTCACAGCCCCTCTGACTACAGAGAAGATGCCCCATTTGCCTGCTAAAGAGCGGACGGGCCCCCTGAGGTGCACGCCTGGCAGGCAATGCCAGAGCAGAAAGGCCTCTCGGTGCCCTGACCGGCCCATGCGTGCAAGGTTCCCTTTCCTCTTCCCAATGAGACTGTGCTGAGGGGAGAAAATGCTCAACCACGGCTGTGGGAACGAGCTTCAGAGTGGCCATGCAGCCCGCAAGGTGCCCCTGCTCCAGACAGGGGGGCCCGTGTGCCTCCAGAGCATCAGACAGTTCCATTCCCAGGCCTCTTTTCACAGTGCAAGGGTCTGTCCCGGCCCCTAGTGAAGGCCCCGCTTCTATCCTCTCCAGCTCCCTCCAGTGTCCACCCACATGGGTACATCCCACCAAAGCAAAGCTCTGGGGCCTCGGCGTCCACAGGACGGGCAAAGGGCAGCAGGCAGGATGCTGTGGCTGCAGGCATACTGTTGGGCCCACCATGACAGTCAACACCTAAAGTCGCAGGCCCTCATCCAGCTGCCACCGTAAACACAAAACACGGCAGCCTCCGACATAACCAAGTCCAAAATGCGAACCCACGACCACCTTCCCCACAGCTCCTCCCTCAGCGAAGCCAGGAACTCAAGGCTGAATGGAGACAGGCTCCCAGGGCCATCTTGGCATTACCAGTGCCAACCTGGAGAGCTGGCAAACCCAGCCAAGCCCTGACTGAGTGGCATCTGGGATGACTGGCGCCAGAGAAGGTGCAGGCTCTGCCCGCTCCCACTGGCGACACCAGGTCCCAATGATGGGCCTTCCAGAGCACTTACTCACAGGCCCTCCACACCACCCCCTGCAGGAGGCCCGTGTGAGCTGAGCGCCACCACTCTCCAGCCCCTAGTTGACAAGTGTGTGTGACCCACCAAGTGTGCCCCGGCAGCACATCCCAGCACAGCTCTCTCGTGCCCACCCCCAGCCAAGGCCCAGAGGACGCACTTTCTTTTCTTTTTATTTTTTGAGACAAAGTCTTGCTGTCGCCCAGGCTGGAGTGCAGTGGTGCAATCTCAACTCACTACAACCTTCGCCTCCAGGTTCAAGAGATTCTTTTGCCTCAGCATCCCAAGTAGTTGGGATTACAGGCACCCACCACCACGCCCGGCTAATTTTGTTTTTAGTACAGATAGGGTTTCACCATGTTGGCCAGGATGGTCTCGATCTCCTGATCTCAGGTGATCCACCCGCCTCGGCCTCCGGAAGTGCTGGGATTACAGGTGCGAGCCACCGCGCCCGGCCTATTATTTTATTTTATTTTAGAGACAAGGTTTCACCATGTTGAGGCTGGTCTCCTGACCTCAGGTGATCCGCCCGCCTCGGATGTCATCCAAAGCACTGGATGACAGAGTACAGGTGTGAGCCACCATACCCAGCCCAGAGGATACACTTCGCATCCAGACTCCGTGCAGCTGGAACCACGGCTGTTTTTATCTTTTTTCTTTTTTTATTAATAAAACATCAGGTATAAGTAACTAATGACCTGCTACATTTAGTTTCAAAAATACAAATTCTTTTTTGTTGAGACGGAGTCTTGCTCTGTAGCCCAGGCTGGAGTGCAGCGGCGCCATCTTGGCTCACTGCAAGCTCCGCCTCCCGGGTTCACACCATTCTCCTGCCTCAGCCTCCTGAGTAGCTGGGACTACAGGCGCCGCCACCAAGCCTGGCTAATTGTTTTGTATATTTAGTAGAGACGGACTTTCACCATGTTAGCCAGGATGGTCTCCATCTCCTGACCTCGTGATCAGCCCACCTCGGCCTCCCAAAGTGTTGGGATTACAGGCGTGAGCCACCATGCCTGGCCCCAAAATGCAAATTCTGAAGACGTCTTTAACTTTGATTTTCCCTGAACTAACAAATGCATAAAACCATGTGAACGTTCTATGGTTCGCTGAAGCAAAGTCATCTGCAGCAGAGGATTCTAAAGTCCTCACAGCACCTGCATTTGTGCCTAAAGAGTGGGGATGGGGAAGCTGCAGCTGCATTTGTGCCCTAAGAGTGGAGATGGTGAAACCGAAGTTGGAGAGAAAACCGCCGCCTGTGCCCAGCCTTTGGAATGAGATGCGGGTCTTGACTGTGACCTGTGGGTGGGTAAGTACCACCCACACGAGAAGGAGGGTCCTGAGGGTCCCTCAGGACCCAATGACCACTGAACACTGACACGATGTGCCACTGTGGTCAGTCCCTGCCGTGCCATAAACCACACTCAAGCCCCTGGGGGTCCCTCAGCCCTCAGCATTGCTTGGGTGTGGAAACGAGGGGTCACAAGGGAACCTCCTCTGGAAACAGGAACCTCCAAACTGGGATGGCCCTGGAAACAATGGGCATCACCTGCACCGCCTGAGGCCACCACCAGAGGCCACCACCAGCTCCTCTCCCGCCTTCTCTTCCTACAGCAGGTCCCTGCCCAACAGCTGTGGCTCTGATCTCTCCCTTCCCCTTCTCAGTCCCATCCTGGGCCTCCGAGGTAGCAGCAGCAGCTGCGAGGTCCCCTTCCAAGGCTCACAGCGCTGCAGGCCTGTTCTGAGAGCCTCAAACACGCAGGCACACACATTCCTCAGAGGACCAGAAGGCTGGGGAAGCTAAGCCAGGAGGAAGGGGCAGGGGTCAGCGCCAGCATCTGCACCCAGTAACTAGTTTCAGCTCTACTTGAGGGCACCAGGCCGGGCAACCGCAGCCAGCACCCATTTGGGAGTTCCTAAGACCTTCCAGGAAGAGAGCCCTGGACAGACAGCAGTTTTGTCCCATGCCTGGGCAGCACAGGGCATCTGGTGGACATCCTTGCACTCCCCCTCTCCTGAGTCTTCCTCTGGGGGCTACCCCCACTCCCACTCAGGGTGGACAAGTGATCCAGGCCTGGCCAGAGCACACCCCCTCCCCGGCCACAGCCGTTAGTCCAGGGAGACCCACACGGGACCACACTGTTGGGCTGCAGCAGTGGGGGCAGGGACTTCTCTGCCAGGTGAGTGCTCCCACCTCCCTGTTTGATTGATGCTACCTTGAGTCGTGCTTTCTGTCACCTGCAACCAAAACAACTCCAAGTGAACCCAGCTTGTAACTGCAGGATCGATACAATGCCCCTCTCAGCACTGAGGTTTTTAGTTAGCTCTGCCTATAAATAGAATGCAACAGGCAATCATTTTACCACTCACAGAACACAGCTGCTCTTGCCTTCAGACACGACCCACTGAGGAGAATGTGGCCACATCGCAGCCTCATGGGGCCAAGCATCAGCGCTATCCTCCACCCGCCGGCCACATTCTTCCCGTCCCTCCTCCGGGCACCACTGGCTGAAAGGATCTACAGACATGTGGGTCAGGAAGCAGGAAGCTCTTACTGCCTTCCCCTGCAAGAGCTCTGGGCAGTGGAGGCACACCCACGGCCCACCTCCTGAAGCTGACTAGGAGGGGCACCAGCCCGGAGGAGCACGCGCAGTGGCCACATCCTCAGGCCCCACCTCCTGAGCCATATCCCTTCCGCCTGGGCCGTCCGGGCAGAAACCACCACCCTCGGCCTGGGCCGTCTGGGCAGAACCACCTTCTACTCTGGAACTGTCCGTCTGACAGCTCACCCCACAGAATTCAGGGGAATGGCCTCTGCCAGGTGACGCACTGGCCGTATGCTTCCGTGCTGAGCCACATGCTTCCCCAGAGGGGTCAGGATGCTAAGTGTTGCACTAAGCTCTCTGAAACACTATTTATTTGAAATAGGATCCCGGCAGCTTTATGTCAGTTGGTTTTACAAAACAGCACTGAAGTCTCCTGAGACTATTTTCAGATTGAGTCTGCACCGTGCGTCTGCCTGATGCCCAAACTGCAAGGATGACCAGATGACCAGATGACCGTCACTGACCGTCACTGACCCAACCTAGGGAACACCCACTACCCAGCAAGGTCACTGTCCGTCACTGTCCCAACCTAGGGAACACCCGCTGCCCAGCAAGATCACTGTTCAAAGCAGCCCGAAAGACACAGCCCACCAGGGTCCCTAGAACACCCAGGTCGACGTGCCATGAACCGCCTGAGTTTCTGACACCAGCTTCCCACTGTGACACCAGACGCAAAGGCCCACATGCAGAGTGCCGGCCTGGTCCCCCAGGACCTTCAAGACAAGTTCGGCAGCAACCACTTCCTTCCAGTCCAACACGGGAGGACATTCTGCCCATGTTCTGCGGCAACCATTACAGCGCTACCTTCTAAATAACAGACGGAAAAATCCCACAGAGACTATTTTAGAATATTCCCCTTCTCAGCTTAAAGACATTACACTCAGATCAGAACACAAGTAAATGAAGTGCTATTATCCAGCTGAAGGATCTCCAAATATTAGGAGTCACTCTGAACCACGCCGCTGACACACACATATCAAACTACCCACAGTGAATCCACACTGGCCAACGCTCTGACAATGTGGTGCCTCCCAGACCACGAGGACTTCACATTTCCACCCGCACGTCCTCCACCACGCCCTCCCCCAAAGAACTACCCCAAAGGAGGAAACGAATTCTGAGAACCCAACAGCTGGAGCCAAGCAGGGAAAAGGGTTAGGGTTGGAACACACAAAAATTCGCCACCAACAGAATCAGGCCGAGTGGTGTCGTCCAGCTTGTGCACTGCTGGAAGCCAAGGAGCTCTATTAGTCAGAAATGCAGCCAGGACCAGCGCAGGCCTCTTATATAAGGGATGCATATATCAGGCAGAGGGGAGTTTTAAGTGTGGTCAGGTGGCTGAGTGAGTTTCTTTCAGCTACTATTCCCTGTTCCACAATAGTCTAAAGGATAGTTTACCTGAGAGAAGAAAAGTTATATTAAGAAAAAATAGCCAGCAAATACCAAAAGAAGCTTTGTGCCAAGTGTGCACAGCCCAGTTCCCTGACCCAGTGTCAGGAGGCAGAGAGGAGGAAGGAGGAGGTGCTGATGGTACAGGCACTCAGGAGGTGGAGAGGAGGGAGGAGGAGGTGCTGATGGTACAGGCACTCAGGAGGCAGAGAGGAGGAGGAAGGAGGAGGTGCGGATGGTACCGGCACTCAGGAGGTGGAGAGGAGGAGGGAGGAGGAGGTGCTGATGGTACAGGCACTCAGGAGGTGGAGAGGAGGAGGGAGGAGGACGTGCTGATGGTACAGGCACTCAGGAGGTGGAGAGGAGGAGGGAGGAGGAGGTGCTGATGGTACAGGCACTCAGGAGGCGGAGAGGAGGGAGGAGGAGGTGCTGATGGTAGGAGAGGACGGAGGAGGAGGTGCTGATGGTACAGGCACTCAGGAGGCGGAGAGGACGGAGGAGGAGGTGCTGATGGTACAGGCACTCAGGAGGCGGAGAGCACGGAGGAGGACGTGCTGATGGTACAGGCACTCAGGAGGTGGAGAGGAGGAGGAAGGAGGAGGTGCTGGTGGTACAGGCACTCAGGAGGCGGAGAGCAGGAAGGAGGAGGTGCGGAAGGTACCGGCACTCAGGAGGTGGAGAGGAGGAAGGAGGAGGAGGTGCGGATGGTACAAGCACTCAGGAGGCGGAGAGGAGGGAGGAGGTGGTGCTGATGGTACAGGCACTCAGGAGGTGGAGAGGAGGAGGGAGGAGGAGGTGCGGATGGTACCGGCACACAGGAGGTGGAGAGGAGGAGGAAGGAGGAGGTGCGGAAGGTACCGGCACACAGGAGGTGGAGAGGAGGAGGAAGGAGGAGGTGCTGATGACACAGGCACTCACAGGTCTGACTGGGTCACTTTCTCATTCCACTCTCCAAGTTTCTCAGAAGTTTTCACATAGCTAAAAACAGAAAGTCTACAGTAAATTATTTAGAAAAACAATTTTAAGTCAGGCATCAAACTGCAGGTGAGGTTCCAGGGAAGACAGAGGAGGACCAGCTGGCAGGAACATCAACTCTACAGACGGCCCAAAAACAGGGTCCACTGCCTCAACCAGGCCCTGTGCAGGCTCCAGGCCGCCAGGCGAGCTGTGGGTATGGCGGAACTGATCGTCCCCTTTTCCGTCACCCGGCAGTAGCCCCTGGTCTCTCACTAGGAGATTCTTGGGGAACAGCACTGCTGTGGGGGACTGGAAGGGCACAGCCCACAGCTCCAAACCACCACTGGGATTCAAAACTTACGATGTCCTAGGATAAAAAAATGAGTTTCTCGTATGTGAGATTTATGAAATGGGACTTGATCTGTCATTCTGTAGGGACGTGGCTCCTGGGAAACATTCCACACCCGCCCCCCCTTGTACGGTATGTTTCAGAGAAGCCACGTGGACGGGGCCAAGTGAGAAAGCAGCATTCCCCAAATTCAGAGAGCTGAGTGACATCTGGGACAGACGTCCCAGGGTTACAGGACCATGCAGTCATGGAGGGTCAGAGGCCCTAGGGTTGTGGGACCATATGGTCATATACGTTTTTTTTTTTTGGTATTTTTTGAGACAGAGTCTTGCTGTGTCGCCCAGGCTAGAGGGCAGTGGCATAATTTTGGCTCACCGCAACCTCTGCCTCCTGTGTTCAAGAGATTCTCCTGCCTCAGCCTCCCCAGTAGCTGGGATCACAGGTGCACACCACCACACCCAGCTAAACTTTTGTATTTTTCAGTAGAGACAGGGTTTCTCCATGTTGACCAGGTTGGTCTTGAATTCCTAACCTCAGGTGATCCACCTGCCTCAGCCTCCGAAGTGCTGGGATTACAGGCGTGAGCTACTGCGCCAGGCCCATGTGGCCGTATCTGGGTCAGCGGCTGTGACCATGCCACACCCACAATAAGGACCACAGAAAAACCATTCTTGCTAAAGTCCTGATCAGTGCTCCCTTGAGTCTGGACACTGAAACACAAGTCTTCCTATCAATTTCCACCCGGACAACTAGCCAGTGTGTCTGCCTTTTTAAAACACAGAGAAGCCGGGTGTGGTGGCTCACACATGTAATCCCAAGCATTTTAGGAGGTCAAAACAAGAGGATTGCTTGAGCCCAGAAATTTGAGACCAGCCTAGGCAACAAAGCAAGATCCTGTCTCTATAAAATGTGAAAAAATTAGCCAGGCACAGTGGCGCACGCCTGTAGTCCCAGCTACGAGGGGGCTGAGTTGGGGGATCGCTTGAACCCAGGAGGTCGAGGTTGCAGTGAACGACTGCGCCGCTGCACTCCAGCCTGGGTGACAGAGCAAGAACATCTCAAAAAAGAATTTTAAAAAAAAAGGCCCGTGCGGCGGCTCATGCCTGTAATCCCAGCACTTTGGGAGGTCGAGGTGGGTGGATCACAAGGTCAGGAGTCCAAGACCAGCCTGGCCAAGACGGTGAAACCCCATCTCTACGAAAAATACAAAAAATAAAATAAAAAATTATCCGGGTGTGGTGGCAGACGCCTGTAATCCCAGCTACCTGGGAGGCCGAGGAAGGAGAATCACTTGAACCCGGTGGGCAGAGGTTGCAGTGAGCCAAAATTGCGCCAGTGCACTCCAGCCTGGGTGACAGAGTGAGACTCTGTCTCAAAAATAATAATAATAAACGAAGTACACAAAAATTTAAAAATAAATAAGACACACGCAGACACCAAGCTCTTTGAAAAAACAAGGCACAGTCCCTGGGCCTAGGGCTCAGAGCCTCTCACTGGCTCCTTCCAAACAGGCCACTCAACTCCATGGCTGCAACTTGTCCCTGGGTATGACGATGCCCCTCACATGCCAGGGGCGTGTGTGGTGCACGTTCTTTTCAGCCCCCGGGGGTGCGCCTGGGGCAGGTACCTACGCGTTAGAGACCTGTACATCGTGCCAGCTCCTGGACAGGTTCTGTTTCAGCCCCCCCAGGGTGGAGAGGCCCAGCCTCCTCTTGAGCTCTCCGCAGTGCCTCTCCTTGGCTGCCAGGACCTGGCGCAGAGTGACAATTTCCTCTTCCACCTGCAAAGCATGCAGTCGACATGATGAGCCATCACTACTGCAGGAAGTGACTAACATCCTCATGCACAGTGCCATGAGTTACACAAGAACATTCCGCTTACTGAAGCATTAACTCGTCGTAGGAATAATAGCGTCTACAGTAGACATCTGATTTTTGGGTTTTGGTTTTTTTTTGAGACGGGATTTCACTCTTGTTGCCCAGGCTGGAGTGCAACGGCGCGATCTCGGCTCACCGCCTCTGCCTTCCAGGTTCAAGCGATTCTCCTGCCTCAGCCTCCTCAGTGGCTGGGATCACAGGCGTGCGCCACCACGCCCAGCTAATTTTGTATTTTTAGTAGAGACAGGTTTCTCCATGTTGGTCAGGCTGGTCTCAAACTCCCAACCTCAGGCAATCCACCCACCTCAACCTCCCAAAGTGCTGGGAGTACAGGCGTAAGCCACCGCGCCCAGTCAGCAGCCATCTGTTTTTATCTGGTACTAGGAACTTGACTCCAGAGAACTGTCCCATGCGCCGGAGCTAAATGGTTCTGGGAGAGCTACCAATCACTATGTCCATTTGTGGTCACGAAGAATGGTCCAGGATGATCATGCCAGGCTTGTTTCATGCCAGGCTCTTTCCTGGGACTGGGCATGGTATTAAAAAGGTGAAGACCCTGGCCGGGCACGGTGGCTCATGCCTGTAATCCCAGCACTCTGGGAGGCCAAGGCAGGTGGATCACGAGGTCAGAAGATCAAGACCATCCTGGTTAACACAGTGAAACCCTGTCTCTACTAAAAAATACAAAAAATTAGCTGGGCGTGGTGGCAGGCACCTGTAGTCCCAGCTACTCGGGAGGCTGAGGCAGGAGAATGGCGTGCAGCTGGGAGGCGGAGCTTGCAGTGAACCGAGATCGCACAACTGCACTCCAGCCTGGGCGACAAAGCGAGACTTGGTCTCAAAAAAGAAAAAAAAAAAAAAAAAAGGTGAAGTCCCTGGCCGGGTACAGAGGCTCACACCTGTAATCCTAGCACTGTGTGAGGCCAAGGCAGGCAGATTACCTGAGGTCAGGAGTTTGAGACCAGCCTGGCCAACACATGATGAAACCCCGTCTCTACTAAAAATACAAAAATTAGCCAGGCATGGTGGTGCGCTCCTGTAATCCCAGCTACTCGGGAGGCTGAGGTAAGAAAATTGCTTGAACCTAGGAGACAGAGGTTGCAGTGAGCCGAGACCGTGCCACTGCACTCCAGCCTAGGTGACGGACTGAGACTCCGTCTCAAAAACAAACAAACAAACAAACAAAAACAGTGAGGATCCCTTTCCCTCAGGGCTCTCAGTCTGGGCTTGGACGATAGAAGCTGAAACTGTTGGCAGCCAGGCACCGTCTGCACTCATCGAATTCCATATGCAGGGAGGAGGAGGCAAATGGCCAGAGACCCGGGTGACAGAGAAAAAACCCTTAGGAAAACACCTGTGTTCCTGAGATCAGTTCCAAACCTTGGCAAGAGTCAGTTACACGAACCTAAAGGTAAATTATCTTCTGTGCTTCAGGTAGTTAGAACTGAGTAACAGCAAGATGCCTGAAAATGAAAACTTGACCTTTCTCAGGTCTTTAAAAAAAAAAAAAAAAAAAAAATGACCTCTGAAAGGGGCATCATTCGGCGTTTTGCCACTTTAGAATGAGTTCTTAGTATCTTCAGCTCATATATGACTAGCTTCTCTTTAAAAATTCTCTTTCTTGGCTGGGTACGATGGCTCACACCTGTAATCCCAGCACTTTGGGAGGCCGAGGGGGGCAGATCACCTGAGGTCAGGAGTTCAAGACCAGCCTGACCAATATGATGAAACACCGCCTCTACCAAAAATACAAAAATTAGCCAGGCGTGGTGGTGGGCTCCCATAACCCCAGGTACTTGGGAGGCTGAGACAGGAGAATCGCTTGAACCTCGAAGGCGGAGGATGCAGTGAGCCAAGATCGTGCCATTCCACTCCACCTGGGCAACAAGAGCGAAACGACTAAAAAAAAAACCTTTCTTCCGTGTAATCCCAGCACTATGGGAGGCTGAGGCAGGCGGATTACCTGAGGTCTGGAGTTCAAGACCAACCTGGCCAACATGGTGAAACTCTGTCTACTACAAATACAAAAATTAGCCAGCCGTGGTGCTGTGCGCCTGTAATCCCAGCTACTCGGGAGGTTGAGGCAAGAGAATCACTTCAACTCAGGAGGTGGAGGCCGCAGGGAGCCGAGATCACACCACTGCACTCCAGCCTGGGTGACAGAGTGAGACTCCATCTTTAAAAAAAAAAAAAAATCTTTCTTTGGCTAGGCACAGTGGCTCACACTTGTAATCCTAGCACTTTGGGAGGCTGAGCCAGGCAGAACTCTTGAGGCTGGGAGTTCAGGACCAGCCTGGCCAACATGGTGAAACACTTGTCTCTACTAAAAATATAAAACTTAACCAGGTATGGTGGTGGGCATCTGTAATCCCACCTACATGGGAGGCTGGGCATGAGAAGCACTTGATCCAGGGAGGCAGAGGCTCCAGTGAGCTGAGATCATGCCACTGCACTCCAGCCTGGGCGACAAAGAAGAGACTCTGACTCAAAAAAACGACTTAAAAAAAAAAAAAAAAACTTCATCTTGTAATTCAACTCTGAAAAAAACCTTGTGGGTTTAGTTTCTAAAGTCGCATGCTCTGAAATAAAGTGGAAAGCAAAGTCTCCTTGGACTTCCTGCTGCTCTCCTTTAACCTTCTAGGCTGGAAATAACTGTGATGTCCTCAGGATCTGAAACCTGGTCCTCAGGCCCAGCGGCACAACCAGCCTTACTCAGACCTAGGCCTGGACCCAGATTCTGGAATTAAACCGTATCACAGGGTGATTCACGGGTGAAAAGAAAACTCTTGGCAGTTGCTTTGACTAAAAATTATGGTTGGAGGCTTTTGTTCTTTTTTTTGAGGCGGAGTCTCGCTCTGTCGCCCAGGCTGGAGTGCGGTGGCCCGATCTCGGCTCACTGCAAGCTCTGCCTCCCGGGTTCCCGCCATTCTCCTGCCTCAGCCTCCCGAGTAGCTGGGACTACAGGCGCCCGCCACCTCACCCGGCTAGTTTTTTGTATTTTTTAGTAGAGACGGGGTTTCACCGTGTTAACCAAGATGGTCTCGATCTCCTGACCTCATGATCCGCCCGTCTCGGCCTCCCAAAGTGCTGGGATTCCAGGCGTGAGCCACCGCATCCAGCTGAGGCTTTTGTTCTTAATTCCTGTATTACTCTTAAGGGACTCTCACTTAAAGAATACCACATAAATACTTTCTACAAAAGAAGTTTCTGTTTTGTTTTTGAGACAGGGTCTCGCTCTGTCGCCAGGCTGGAATGCAGGGCACAATCACAGCTCACTGAAGTCTTGACCTCCTGGCCTCAAGCATCCTCCCGCCTCAGCCTCCTGAGCAGCTGGGACTACAGGCAACTGCCACCACACTCGGCTAGTTTTTGGGGGTGGAGACAAGGTCTCACTGTGTTGCCCAGGCTGCTCTCAAACTCCTGGGCTCAAGCGATCTTCCCAGTTTACCACCTTGTCCTACCAAAGCACTGGAATTACAGGCATGAGCCACTGCATCCAGTCAAAATAAGTATTTTTAAAAGAAAACTTAAGATCCAGGGCAGAGAGATTCACGGGGTTTTAAAAATGATTCTCAAGTGTTAATTCCAACAGAGACACTCCCAGTAGATGGCCACTCAGAGGCGGTTCGTGTATGAACGCTACTCATGGAGTACTTCGGAAGGGCCAGGCACAGAGGTGTGGGAAGGAAGTCACGCCCATCTCCACTGCCAGGTGGCTCTGAGTCCAGAGCACGGAGCTGGGCACATACAAAGAGAACCCCTTTATCAGCGGGAACACAGAGCAGGGTAGGTGATCACCCAAGCGTGGCCAGTACCCTGGCCTCTCACTAATCCAAGAGGGTCTTAACTCCAATTCACCCCAGGGCACACAGCCAAGCCACAGCACCTTGGTAAGCTCGGCCCTGAGCTCCTCCTCCTCAGCCTCTGTCAGACCCTCAATAGCAGGAGTCCGGGCAGCCACACCCGTGTCGACAGGGACATCCGTCATGGAGTCAGACAGCAGACCTTTGTTAGGAGAATTCAGGTTGATATCTGCCAGAGACAAAATGAGGCCACAAAGCGTCAAGTAAGTTATTTACTTCCAAGTAAATATGGAAGAGGTCTCTAGCAGGACAAAAGCAAAGGTGGGAGTGGGTGAGACCCTGGAGACGAACACCTCTTCTCTGAAAGGTCTGTGAGGACAGCGTGGGCAGTAGACGAGGGCGGCCACACCTCAGGCCACCTGAGATGAAAAGCCAATGCCACCTGTGCTGCTTCAGGGCACGAGAAATGCCAGCCCAAGACAGCCAGACCCTAACCAGTGAGAATACTATCTTCAAAGGCAGGAAACCCTTGCTACAAAGAAAGCAGATCAATCTAACAGAGCTTTCACTTTTTTTTTTTTTTGTGATGGAGTCTCACTCTGTTGCCCAGGCTGGAGTGCAATGGTCTGATCTCAGCTCACTGCAACCTCCGTCTCCCAGGTTCAAGTGATTCTCCTGCCTCAGCCTCTGAGTATCTGGGATCACAGGTGCGCGTCACCACGTCGGCTAATTTTTGTATTTTCAGTAGAGATGGGGTTTCACCATGTTGGCCAGGCTGGTCTCCAACTCCCGACCTTGGGTGATCCGCCAGCTTTGGCCTCCCAAAGTGCTGGGATTACAGGTGTGAGCCACCGCACCCAGCCACATCTTCCACTTTTTTAAGAAAAGGAACTTAATATGGTTAATACACACAATAAGCATCACTTTCCACTCAACACATCTGACAGGGCACATGCTAAAACTACATACTAGGAGCACATGCTGGTCATTCAGCTCCTTCTGGGAGTCAGCAAAACAAAATTCCCTTTCCTTACCTCCCGCTTCTCATCCCACAGTCAGGAAGCCACCACAGGCGGAGAGCTGCAGAGTGGTGTGCTGCCGCCACACACCTCAACTACACCCAGATGACATTCAAATTCCTGTAGCCACTGTTTTTTCTTCACATCAAACGCATCTTCCTGACTGCACTAAAAGTCTACAAGATTTCACATAAGGAAAAATAGTCTATTTTGATTCTCTCTAAATCCAAGCACATGATTATTGTAACATTTTCCCTGTTGAACACAACATTCTGAAAAGAAACAGGCTTACTGCCAGGCGTGGTGGCTCACCTGAGGTCAGGAGTTCGAGACCAGCTTGACCAACATGGTGAAACTCTGCCTCTACTAAAAATACAGAATTAGCTGGCGTGGTGGCACGCGCCTGTAGTCCCAGCTACTTGGGAGGCTGAGGCAGGAGAATCACTTGAACCCAGGAGATTACAGGTGTGAGCCACCATACCCGGCCAAAAAAAATTTTTTTTTTAAAACTAAAGGAAAAACTGGCCGGGCGTGGTGGTTCATGCCTGTAATCCCAGGCCTTTGGGAGGCTGAGACAGGCAGATCACCTGAGGTCAGGAATTCAAGACCAGCCTGGCCACTACGGTGAAACCCCGTCTCTACTAAAAATACAAAAAATTAGCCTGGAGTGGTGGCGGGCGCCTGTAGTCCCAGCTACTCGGGAGGCTGAGGCAGGAGAATGGCGTCAACCTGGGAGGAGGAGCTTGCAGTGAGCCCAGATGGCGCCACAGCACTCCAGCCTGGGCAACAGTGCGAGACTCCAACTCAAAAAAACAAAAACAAACAAAAACAAACAAAAAACACCCTCCAGAATAATGCAGCACTCAGGAATTATAAAGTTTAATATGTGGCCAGGCGCAATGGCTCACACCTGTAATCGCAGCACTTTGGGACGCCGAGGCGAGTGGATCACGAGGTCAAGATATCGAGACCACCCTGGGCAACATGGTGAAACCTCGTCTCTAGTAAAAATACAAAAATTAGCTGAGCGTGGTGGCGGGCGCCTGTAGTCCCAGCTACTCATGAGGCTGAGGCAGAAGAATGGCTTGAACCCGGGAGGTGGAGGTTGCAATGAGCTGAGATCGCGCCACTGCACTCCAGCCTGGCGTCAGGACAAGACTCCGTAGGAAAGGAAAGGAAAAAGGGGAAAGGGGAAAGGGGACGAGATGGAAGGGGGGGGAGAGGGGAGGGAAGGGGAAAAGAAATTTAACATCCCTCTCTTCAGCCCCAAAATGGAAGACAAACTTGTATCATATTCTCAAAATTTTAATCTCCTGGGCTGGCTCCATGCCCCTCAGGGGCCATCTCCTACTGCTCCGGGGTGACTGTTCTGGAAACAGGCCTGGTAAGCTGGGTGTGCCCCTGACTCACTCCGCCCCTCTCCATGAGGCAACCCCTAAGTAGGCTGAGCTCCGAGCAGAGCTGCTTACCCAAGGGGAGCTCTGCTGAACGCGAAGACTGTTTCACCATCCCTTCTCTGCTCGGGAGCCGCCCTCCACACCTCGGACTGGGTCCAGGGCCAGAGAGCGTGAACCCGAGGGCCCCGCGCAGGGACCGGGGGGTGGCAGAGCAAGCAAGAGCCGGGCGCGGGGTGGGCGGCATAAACGAGAGCTGCTTGGAGCGAGGGAACCCCAACTACGGGAGCCACGGCGGACGCCAGGGAACCACACTCGGAGCGGTCCCAGGGGAGACCGGGAGGGCGGCTGGAGAGAGCCCAGGAAGCGGTCTGGGCCGCGGGCAAAAGACACACACACCGCAACCATCATAAGCTTCGAGGTCAGTGGCCCGGGAGCTGAAGAGGCGCCGCGGGGTGGGTGAGCAGAGACTGAGAGGACCGAGAGTCGCAAACGACCCCGGGAGACGGGGAACACCGGACGGCCTGGGCCCATCTGCTGCGGAGGCGCCGGGCCCGGCAGGTACCTTGGCCGGCGGAGTCCATCTTCAGACGGCGTCCTGGCCGCTGTCGCGGGCGCTGTGGGAGCCGAGCGGGCGGCGCCGGGAGTACCTGGCCGCGTACACACTAGCCAGCGGAACTGCCTCGGCCCCGCGGCGTTACGTAATCAGCGACGCGACGGCTACTTCCGCCCGGGCACATGCTCCGCCTTCGTCCCGCCCCCACCAGTGATGTCCAATGAGAACGTCGTTTGGCCAGTCCTGGTTTACCCGACTCAATCTGATAGGCCGAAACTGTGGGCGAAGCAGGAAAGGGAGGCGTGGTTCGAAGGGAATCCATTCCAGGTTGGCTCCACCAGCGAGAGTCACAGGTAGAAGGGTCGGAGTAGCGGGAGGACGAGGAAGGTGGGAAGTGGGAGGACTGTCCAACATGGCGCTGTGGAAAGCCAGCGCAGGGCCCCAGGGGATCTTCCGGGTCGGAGGCAGCTGCCCCCGAGTGCTGGAGCTCGCGCGCTTCGGCGGCTCAAACTCTGACCCCGTGAGATCCTTTCCAGCCCGACCCCTTACTTTAGGGGTCAGCCTCCCCCCGTAAGTCCTGTATTTATATTATTTTAGTTGGTCTTTTTTTTGTTTTTTGAGACGGAGTTTCCCTCTTGTTGCCGAGGCTGGAGTGCAAAGGCGCGATATCGGCTCACTCCAACCCCTGCCCTCTGGGTTCAAGCGATTCTCCTGCCTCAGCCTCCCGAGTAGCTGGGATTACAGGCGCGCGCCAACACGTCCGGCTAGTTTTCGTATTTTTAGTAGAGACGGGTTTTGCCACGTTGGCCAGGCTGGTCTCGAACTCCTGACCTTAAGTGATCCACCCGCCTCAGCCTCCTAAAGTGCTAGGATTACAGCTACCCCTCACGCCTGGCTAGTTTGTCCTTTTGGTGGGGACTTTTTATTGTATGCGGGTTGCGCTGAAAAAGACCGCGATTCGTCCCCTCGCCCTGCAGGCGCCGCTGCCGCCTCGCCTCGGGTGTGGACCCTGCGGCCTGAGCGCGTGCACCCCGAGGTTGTCTCACTTCCTGTTCAGGTCGACCAAGCCGGCACTGCGCCCTCCCCACTCCACAGACGAGGAAGCTGAGGTTCAAGTCACTTGCCCTAGGTCACTCCGCAAGTTGAAGCGCTACCAGGATACTCTGGAACAGGATGCCTGACCTCAGAGGAGAGGCGTGTAACCACCAGGCAACTGGCCCCACGAAACAAGTCCCACAACTTCCTTTCTTTCACTCCTACTTGCTCCTGGAAGAAAAGCCTTAAATGGTATTCAAGCCCTTTAGGATCAGATGTCCTAGGACTGCACTCTGGGCTTCCAGCCTGGGGTGGTACTGGTCCCTAGGCATGGAAGCTCCTCCCACTGCCCCTTCATTCACCCGGCCACCTCCTCCCACAGGTGTCTTCCGGGTACTCTTGCACAGGCCTGAGTCCCTTACCACCACTGCCTATCCTGCTCTGGTGCTCTCAGTAATGTTTTCTCCATTTGCTGCCTTTCATTCTTTCCAGAGATCCTTGCTCAACCCAACCAGGCCAGCCCAGGGACTAGGGACGTATACAGACACCTGCTTCAGGCAGTTCAGGGCAGACCACAGAGATGTGACATTGCAGACTGTGTTGAGCAGAGGCCTGGTCTCATTCTGTGTTGCATCCCTAAGCCAGGAACAAAGTCCAGCCCAGGCCTGGCTCTGGGGGACACCCAGTAGTGTCCTCTGGCCCGTGCAGGTGTATCCGTAGCCTCACATGCCACCATGTGAGTCTGAAGTCTGTCTGTGAATGCCCTGGTGTAGAAGCCAGGAGTTTGGAGGTGAGAGGGAGCCCTACAGAATAATAGCCAGTGTGAACTCCTGGGAATGCCCAGCCGCTAAGACCTGCCCACAGCCCTGCGATGCCAATGTCCTCCTTTCACAGGAGGAGTTTGCACAGACTTTAAGCGCACAGCTGGCGTCATTTTCCCAGGAGCCATCCTGTAACCCAGGCCAGGTGAAGGGCTCCTCCCTGGGACCCCACAGTCCCTGTTCCCATCATCCTTTTGTGGTGATGAAGGCACTCATCACAGAGTATTGCCATAAACCGGGTCAGGTTAACCTTTCATTCCCTTTAGGAGCTGGGTGGGGGCATCCAAAAGTATTTGTGGGAGGAAGAGAGAAAGGAGGGGATGGAGCAAGGAAGAACGGGG